AAAATGGATGAACTCTAAAATGCAGGGTTGGGATCAAGGGTCATAATGAAAAGTTTTTCTCATTTTTAGCCTGTCAAAATGTATGCCCACTTTTCTGTTGCTTCTTCTTTTAAGAAAGGTCAGTTATTAATATTTGATCTATGTTTTAAAATGTTGATTCTCTGTGTTCTTAAAAGGAAATTAATTCTCTCTACCCTTTGTTCCACTATGTTTCATGAGCCTTAGGTGTAGAGATTCCATTGTCAATGGTCACATAGTGCTGGACATCTCTCAGACACTTATTCTCTGTCTGTGACCAGTTGTGGAACTCTGTTTTAGTCTCTGTCTATTGTAAAAGAAGTTTTTTTGATGAGTGGTGACTGGCATACTTGTGTATAAATATAAAGATCCATATTTAGCATATAGTAAGAAACTACATTTGTCTAGGGATGTGACAGTGTTTTCTTAAAGATCTATGACCTCTCCAGTCATGTGTATTTGGCTAGGTTTACAGTGTCACGCATGAGTTCCCTTCTGTTGAGTGGGCTTTAAGTCCAGTTAGTTAGCTGTTGTTTACCCCCAAGATAAAAGTGTCACTACTGCACCAATATAGTTTGCTGTCCTAAGTCATTGTGTGGTTATTAGACTTTAAAGCTGGGGTTGGACCACTGATTTTCTCCCTTAGCAGCTTACCTAGTGTCCTTCAAAACTGTGAGAACTAGTATTCATGAAGGAGGCTTCCAGAGCAGTTCCAGCTCCATTGCTCCAAGTCCTGTGTTCAGAGTAAGTCCTGTCTTCAGCAGTACAGTCTTATTATCTTGAAGTTCTGGGAGATAATCAAGGGCTGTAACAATAGCCTGTGTAATTTTGGGAATCTCTTGGACTGCTCTGACCAACAACTCAAAGGGAGGTTTCTATGTCTAGCCCTGTGTTTCTTGTTATATAGCCTTCAGGTATACACATGCACAGACACTGTATGTGTATTTTTCAGTAGGCTTTTGAACTAATACATTTCCCTCTGACTTTTTATAGCAGCTAGGCATTATTTATCATCCTGTCTCTCTCCCTGTCTAACCCTTTGTCCTTGTCTCCCTTCCCAGTTAAAGTAACCCCTCTTAGTCACTCTGCCTGTGTTAGTTACTTTTACATCACCATGACCAAAGCATCTGATAAAAAAAAATACATATAGGAAGGAAGATTTATTTTGGCTCATGGTCACAGAAAGTCTTAGTCTGTTATGGAGCAGAAGGCAGGGCAGGAGCATGCTTAATTCATGATGGTGGGAGTGTCCAGCAGGTGCTGTGCACATGACCACTAACCAGGAGGCAGAGAGCAGCTGGAACTGGTGCCGAGGATAGTAAACTTCAAACCTGTCTCTAGTGCCTGACTTCTACCAGTTAAGCCTCCCCTCCTAAAGGTTTCATAGCCCCCCCCCCCCAAATTAGAACCACCATCTGGGAAATAAGGCTTTAAAACACGGTGGAGACATTTCTGATTCAAACAAGAAAAGTGCCCAGTACAAAAGGATTTCAGTTTTAAACTAGAAATTTGAAAACATGCAACTGGTCTGCTAATTCCATCCAAACCTGCTTTTTCCCTTGGTCTTATGAAAGCACAACTTCTCTCTAGCTTCCTTAAATTCTCTCAATAGCACTCACCCAAATAGCACTCTTTTTTAATGGTGCTGGGATTCTAGGGATTGAACACTAGGGCCTCCTGCATGCTAAGTAGTGTTCTACCCTTACCTTATTTATTTACATTTATTGATTGATTAATTCGGGTGAAGCCATGCACATGCCATAGCACGTGTATGGAGGTCACAGGACAACTCGCGAGAGCCAGTTCTTTCTTCCACCAAGTGGATTCCAGGCTTGAACTCAGATCATCAGGTTTGACAGCAGGCATCTTTGCCCGCTGAGTCATCTGCTAGCCTTCCCCAGCCCATTTTAAATTTTTAAATTGAAACAGGGTCTTGATAAGTTGTCCAGGCTGACTTTGAACTTGTAATCCTCCACCCTTAGCCTGTTTGGTAGCTGAGATTCTGGACTTGCACCACCAGGCCCACTTTTGAGGCATGAACAGCAGTGCCTCTGGGATGGAGCTGGGATTCTGAACTGCTGGGATGTCAAGAGGGGAAGGACTGTCAACAGCTAAGGGAGGCAATGTGGGTCAGGGAGCCTGTCCTCTGAATCCACTGAAGTCCCTTGAGAATAAAAAGGAGGAAAGAAGGAGGAAGGCAATATGCTCAATACTCACAGAGCATCTGGTGTAGGTTTAAGGATGCTGAGAAGGCCTAGAGGAAAGCAGCCACTGAAACGCTTTGGTAATGCAATTATTTCTTAGAAACTCAATGACTTGGGGGAAAATATGGTCCTTGGCTGTCAGAGTGCTATGAAAAGCTGATTGTCTTTGTGAACCAAGGGAGCATTTTTGTGAGGGTGAGGTTATTAGTCAGTCGCCCTGTGAATTACCAGAAGTTCACCCCCCCCCCCCTTTTTGGTCCC